TTAAGGAAGAAAAAGAACAAGGAGAACTGCGCGCAGCGGCGCTCCAGCGTGAGAAAGACGCTGAACTGGAGAGACAAATGCGTGAGGAAGAGCGTCGGCGAGCGGAAGAAGCAGCAGCAGCCGAACGCTTGGAGCAAAAGAATCACCGACGCAACAATAACAAGGTAGATTCTGGTATCGAAAAGGCCCGACCCAATGGCGCTTCGAAAGCCAAAGTGGGAAAGCCCACGGACAAGACGTCTGGTACCAAGTCAGCTTCTTCAGGACGCACTGCGTTCTCGCCTCCTGCGCCGTCGAAAAATGTTAAGAAGACCGACAAGCCGGCCAGATCAAATCGAGCTTTGGCAAATGTGCTGCGCAATATTCTGCAGTACATTTCAAAGACCGTTGCTGGCAATCCTCTGTCAATAGCTCGCACGCTCTTATTCATGCTAGGCATTATCGTGGCGCTAAGCAGGCAGAATATCCGCGAGAAGATTCGGAGAATCACTGGCTCGGGTTGGCAGAAGATCAAGGGCACTGTGGGGATGGGAGTGAAGGTGAGCTATATTTGACGTGGTGTGGGTCTTTATCACAATTTCCTTGCTTCTCTCCTGCTTTGCAGTGGCCCTCTGCCTTATGCATAACATGTTCGAAACCTCTGGCTTGCCTTTCATTGGACCCCCAGGCCAGTCCGCTGTTCATTATGTTATATAAGGTCTCTTCCATTTGTAAATGTATGCATCGATCTCTGTGAAAGGCAGAGAAGGGATTTCCCATAAACATTCTTGATATGGACTTTCCATCTTATCAAACAAGGAACTTGATCATTCTAATCATGGACTGTCTTGCATCTACCCACGCCTTTTTGGTCCGGTGGTTCGTCCGCAAGTGAAAGCACAGTCATCCTGGAGGAACTAATGTGGTCAACGGTTGTCTCAACATCCTGTTTCTTGTTTAGATTCTTATGCCACCTTTGCAGGGCATGAACAAAAAAGTGTGCTATACAGATCTGTTCCGTCGTATACAGCAACACAGGCACCGAGGTCCTTGCCTTGGTGTACAGGTCCACTGGTGCCCACATGGCATACAACAGGGGAATTCCCAGCGCGGTGCTCTTTGCGGGACCACAAAAGCATACTGCGATTGTCTCCTCGGGGGTTATGCGCTTGAATATGCGTCGCATGCCGAACCTATTGACCAACAGTACTTCCGGTGGGTGTGAAAGAACAAAACATACGCCAGTGAGGGCAATGTACAGAGCGATGTTGAAGAAGACCACGAACAGGATACTTTGCACGGAAAGAGCTTGAAGTGCTCCGGTGGCGAAGCAAGAGGAGAACGTCATCCTGCCATGGTTATCCAAGTCAGATATTTCGGTTCAATTGGAGGCATGATCATGATAATTACCAAACAATCAGCAGCAAACAAGCGGATCCAAGCTTCGAGATACGATACGTCTGCATCAGTCGTTCCGTCTGCTCCGGCCAGGCCCAACGCACCAGCTGTCCTATTACCAGGGGCAAAAGTGCACTGAGGCCCAACTGTCTGAACACGTCCTTGTACATCTCGCTTAAGTCTCCGCCTGCCTGCCTCCACGGATCGAATTCAGCGTTATTGGGCAGCAGGGTGACAGTCCAACCGGCCGTGATGAAGGGACCTAGGAAATTGGCAATAACAACCTCAACCAGAGCAGCTGCATCATCCCCACCGGCTGATCGGGTCATCACGACATTCGAAGCGATTGTAGTCGGTATACAAGCGGTGAAGATATAGCCCGCCAGCACGGCCCGGTCGATATGGCCATGCGAATCTCCAGCCAGTATGATATGAACAACCGCAAGTGTGAGCGCGGGAATGAAGACGAATGAGAAGACCTGGACAAGGAAGTGAAGACGCCAGTTGAGAAGATGCGTAAACAATTTCTGGCGTGGGATGCTCAGACCCGACGTGAGGAAGATGATGGCCATCGCCCCGTACAGGATGCTGTATTCAGCTCTGATGACGCCGCCATGCTTGGCTACGTTGGGAAAATAGTATGCCAAAACACAGGCGACACCGATACCTATGAGCAACCATTGGTGCAGAAGGAAAATTAGGATGGTTTTGCAGATGTACTTCAAGCTCCGTGCCTTCGAGGGATGCCGCCGCTCTGAACTGTCATTTTCGGCTATGCCGTGGTTCATCGCAGAGTGCTGTTAGATCGATCACTCAGTCACAGTTCCTTCTGTGAATATCACTGTGCTGTAGGGCATAAAGGCAAATCAACTTTAAATAAGAGATGCTTGTTTGCTTCATGTTTACCATTGAGTCCCTTTTCCGGAATGCCGATTTATGGGGTGAAAGACCGAAATCGGATCAAATCCGATGATCCTTGATAAACGACAAGCCGGCTAGCGCTCGCTCCGCTCGCTGCGTCTTGAGGTTCGGACCTACGGCCCTCACCTTAGGTAATACAGAATGATTACATGCCACTATAGCTGCCCCCCTATAGTTACACGCACGCAGCACTGCACCAATATCAAATCATCATCTAGTAGGGATATCGATTCGATGCCATAGTATTTGATATTAAATCATCATCTAGTAGGGATATCGATTTGATGCCATAGTATTCGATATCAAATCATTATCTAGTATGGATATTGAATCATGGCCTAGTAGGGATATTGATTTGATGCCATAGTATTCGATATCGAATCATCATCTAGTATGGATATTGATTCGATGCCATAGTATTCGATATCGAATCATGGCCTAGTATGTATCGATGCCTTAGTATTCAATATCAAATCATCATCTAGTAGGGATATCGATTCGATGCCATAGTCTTCAATATTGAAGCATCATCTAGTAGGGATATTAAATCATTATCTAGTACTAATATCAAAACATCATCTAGTATCAATATCCAAGTCTCAGGAGTCAGGAGGTAGGACCTTTAGGGGCCTTAGAAAGATGGCAGGGGAATACAAAATTAAGGCCTGAAATAAGAGGCATAAAGGCTAGACCCAAAGAGGTAATTTTTCAACTGAATTTCGACTGATTATTCAGCGATTATTCAGCGATTATTAAGCGATTATTAAGCATTCCCCACCGTTATTTCTTTATATCCTTGATAAACGATAACAGCTTGTGTGGGGTAAAGATGTTGCCTTACCTTACGGAGTACCTCTCTAGATCAGGCTGAATTGATTCCTGAGACTGGTACCTCTCAACTTTTACGCCAGGAACAGACAATGTATACCGACCGGGTTGGGTCTATTTGCTTGTGCATAGTTACCCTCGTTCTCATCCCCTTGCAGGATCTCTACCTCTCTATATATAACCAGATGTACAGTAATCAGCAAAGATCAACACCATATCTATTTCGCGACACGCATATAAGAGGCCCATGGCGCGATAAGGCAATGGTCCGCATGACCAAGCACCAATAAACCATACTGTAATTTCACATGAAGAGTCTGCACCACTCTTGCAGTTGTATACTACGGCGCAGTCCAGAGTCGAGCAGTGCTAGAAAACAAAGTACAAGTACAAAGACGATTAACAAAGCCAAAAACTCCAGAGTATGGTATCAATCCTTACTGCGATTCTTCCGCATTGCCTACCAGTACCGGGGATACTATCATAGGTCGCGCTCTGGTCAAGTGGGCATGAAGATGGATAAACTATAAACCGTGGAAATACTATCAAGCGTGGGGATTATGGAATCTCGGTTTCTCCCTGAGGTAGAAGAACGAATATGTCTGAAGACCAGATGTGTTTGATACTATTTAGATCGACATCATTTGACAATTTATCAGAAAATCTATCTCCTTAGTCCCAATAATAATAGCTAAGTGCTGTCAAGGCACGCATTCAGTCTCAAGTCTCTATACGGGGTAGGCGGTCCGAATCGGGAAAAAGCCTCGGCTGGACGTTCGAGGGGCTTAGCCGGAAATTTCCGTATAACTGGGTAATGATTCTAAGGGAAACACCTATGGAGAATAAAGGAGGTGTTTCTGGAACAAAAAGAATGCACGAGACTTTATCCTGACTAAGTGAGGCTAAGTGTGGAATCACAAGCACTCAGATCATGCGTAATGACGATGATGCTCGATCGTGTCACTCTAAGCATGTGAAGAATGGTTCTCCAACATCATTGGTGCTTGTGATGTAGTAGTCATGCTCTTGGGAGAAACTCAAGCCATATATGGCAATTCTACCTAGTGTTGTGATCTAAGGGACTACCAAGGGACTACAACGGAGTAAAGGCATCTAGATTCTGGGCATGGACAGTAGCTTTGGCCTTGTCCCGATGCCTCGGGATGATGCTATGATAGACGACGCTGTAGATCTCCTGCAATAACCGCTAGAAGCATGAGCAAACTCTACTTAGATTGATAGACAAAGCTCGAAAAATATAAGTCAGTCGCAAGACACATCGCTGAATCGATAACACAGTCCTTCTATCTTTATTCTTCTACAGCTTCGGCTACCCTTCAGCTCTACATTGCGGGCGGCGGCATTTCTTCCGCTCGTCCAGAAGAGCTTCCTCCGCTTCCCCGTCATAGCTTCCCCACGGCCCCGAACTGAGGAGAATAAAATAGACAGAACAAAGTAACAAAGCCGCCACTGATCCCGAGACATTTGAGCCATTCCCCATTCCCGAAAATTGATCACATTTATTTCAATAAGCGGGTGACCCCAGAGTGTCCCAGCAATCTAAATACCAGCTCTGATTTGAGCCGAGGGAACTCCATACTTCCGTAACTCCCCGGATTTCTTGCGCACCTGTGAAGATCCGATATCGTCGCTTCTTGGTGCCTTTAATTCTATATCGGGCCCAATTGAGTCATACTTTGTTCTTTTTTTACCTCCTTTCCTCCCTCTCTTCCAATTTCTCGTCGTTCTTCCCGTTGAGTCACGGAGGACAATCGCCGCTGCCAGCCATCGTCATCGAAGGAAGCTAGAACCTCAATTGACAGAAAAGAAAGAGAGAACCGCATAATCGCGTTGCACAAACCTAGTCATTCGCCATGGCCGCCAAATCTGTGGAGGGAAACAAGGGCAAAAAGCCCCCTTCCGCAGCCGTGAACTTGATCGGTAAGATGACGCTTTTGTGGTGCGGGGACATTTCGTTGGCGGTGATGCTAATATGCGACACAGCTGGTGGTGGTGCCGGTATGATGGAGGCACTCGTCTGTCATCCTCTTGGTATGGCTATAATTCAATGGTATCGAGTTCTGGAAACCAGGCTAACAATCTCCCAGATACCATCAAAGTCAGAATGCAGCTCTCGCGACGGGCTAGAGCCCCCGGAGTAAGTTAAGCCGCAAGCCTTGCTCAATTGTGCGGCCACTGATAATTCATTGCTTCGACAGGCAAAACCTCGTGGATTTATCACCACCGGTGTCGAGATCGTGAAGAAGGAGACGGCTCTGGGATTGTACAAGGGTCTGGGAGCTGTTCTGGGCGGTATCATCCCGAAGATGGCTATTCGTTTCACCTCCTATGAGTGGTACAAGCAGATGCTCGCGGATAAGGAGACTGGTGCAGTTACCAGCAAGGCGACCTTCCTCTGTACGTGATCAATCCCTTCCTCGGTCAGTGCGTCTTTAGCTGAATATGAACTGACATATCGAACCAGCCGGTCTTGCTGCTGGTGTGACCGAAGCCGTCGCAGTGGTAAACCCAATGGAAGTCGTTAAGATTCGTTTGCAAGCGCAGCATCACAGTCTGGCGGACCCTCTGGATACCCCCAGGTACCGCAGCGCACCCCACGCACTATTCACCGTGATCCGGGAAGAAGGATTTAGCACTTTATACCGCGGTGTCTCCCTGACAGCTCTTCGCCAGGGTACTAACCAAGCTGCCAACTTCACCGCATACACCGAGCTGAAGGCCTTCCTTCAAAGAGTCCAGCCAGAGTACAGCAACTCGCAGCTTCCCTCATATCAGACAACGGTCATCGGATTGATCTCCGGTGCCGTCGGTCCCTTCTCGAACGCCCCCATTGACACCATCAAGACCAGACTCCAGAAGACCCGCGCTGAACCTGGCCAGTCCGCCGTCAGCCGAATCATGGTCATTGCCAAGGACATGTTCAAGCAGGAGGGTGCGCGTGCTTTCTACAAGGGTATCACTCCTCGTGTGATGAGAGTTGCTCCTGGTCAGGCTGTCACTTTCACAGTATACGAGTACCTCAAGGGCAAACTCGAAGAGTCAAACTGGGCCTTCGTGGGTGGCAAATATGAGGAATAAGTACGGCTGTCTTCGATCGAGGTTGAGGGAGAACGGCCGCTGCGTGTTTTCGAAAGCATTTGATACCATGAGCATCGTGGCGTTTTCGATTGCATTGCGATCTCACTGCATTATTTTTCTGGGTTATTAGCTTCGGATTGGTGATGGCACTCGCATCTGGGCTTTGGTTATGGGTGAGGCCTGTCGATTTGAAAACAGCACAGTTGACTTGTATATAACTTTTCTTTTCTTTGTCTTTGGCCTTGCCATCTGTTAGTATACCAATTTCTTTGACATCTTGAATAGAATCAAAATCTGAAAGATAACAAATGATGTCTGTCGCGCAGATGGCCAGATGCCAATGGATAAGCAACTAGAGACGTATCTACAACTTGTTCAAAATGCCTTGGAGAACTGACCACTTGCAACTCCCTCACTCTAGCCACTTTTGGCAATCGGGATTACCCCGCTAAATACCTCCTCCTACTACACCGCTTCTGCCAGGTGTAAACACTTCCTAAACATTGAGGACATCACACAAAAGCAGTTGATAGGTCATATATTCTTGGGATACCAGACCGCAACTGCACCTACTCAAGATGCAGTCAGGAATTGCAGGTAAGCACACTTCATCCAGAGGCCGAACCCCTCGGTCCGCTGCTCTGCACTGCATACTGCACACTGCATTCCCAATCCCGACTGCAGAATATAGAAACGCTGACTTGCGTCCCAGTCTCCTCCGAGCTGCATAATGCATTCAACGACTTCGCCTCGGACTCCTCCATCTTCTGTCTCCCTGTAACCATCACAGCAGAGAGCCTGACCCCCCTCTCCCCTATCCGCTTCTCCTCCCCCGGCGCATTCTACCCCTCCCTCTCACAACTCTCATCTGTGCTGCAGCCGAAAACTCCCCTCTATCTGCTCTTCCGTCGCCCCGAGACGGGCTCCTCGTCCCTCTGCGCGTTGACATACATTCCCTCGAATGCCCCCGTGCGCGCCAAGACGCTCTTCGCCTCGACCCGTGCCACGCTGGTGCGAGAACTAGGCAGCGAGAAGTTTGCGACTACCATCTTTGCAACAGAGGAGGAAGAAGTCACCAGCGAGGATGCGTGGCGCGAGAGGGAAGCGGAGAAGAAGGGGTCTGGTGCCAAGGGAGACTTCAGACGGGAGGATTTGATGGGGGACAAGGAGCGTGAGCTAGAGGCTGTTCGGAGGGCAGAGGAGGAGGCTAGAAGCGGTACTCCTGGTAGGGATATCGGCATTGGTGGATCGTTCGCGAGAGGTGGATTTGGGTCTGGTGTGCAGTCTGGGATGCGGATGACTGTGGACGATGATGTGAAGACTGCTCTTGAAGGACTACAGGATGGTGGGCTGGTGCAACTGGTACGTTCTCCGAAGTTTAAAGTTTATATCAGAAGCTTAAGATCTTGTAATCTGTCATTGATTGCTAACTACGAGCTTTCTAATTACAGGCCATTGACATTCCGTCGGAAACGTTCAAGCTCGCTGCTGCGGAGTCTGGTATTGACGCGAACTCAGTCCAGACGCACATCTCGTCATCCTCGCCTCGGTACACTTTTTACCGCTATCCTGAAACCGATACCGTTTTCTTCATTTATACCTGCCCGTCGGGCTCGTCGATCAAGGAGCGCATGCTTTACGCAAGCTCTCGGATGTATGCCCTTCGTGTAGCTGATGAACAGGGACTGAAGATTTCCAAGAAGGTATGCTTTGCGTGACAATCACATGACTGATTCTTTACCATCTAACGAGGCGACATGCAGATTGAGGCATCTTCTCCTGACGAGATCTCAGGAGACAGATTGCAGGAGGAGGTCCAGCCCCAACAGAATGATGGACTGAGACGAGGATTCGCCAGACCAAAGCGGCCTGGAAGGTAGAATTCGCTGTAGGGCTCTTCCGGGCACCTTCTTAGAGTATTTAGATAGCCCCCCTGTCACTTGTCAAATATGTCCACCATTTCTAAGCTCTCAAGTATGAAAATCGCCCGGAAGCCGACATATTTTGCGGAAGGTGCGAGAAATATAATCGTAGGGCACAAGATGCCTTGCCAGACACCGAGTAATGCACCGCGATCGGTTAAGGCGCGGGGCGAACGACAAAAGGTATGCCGCAATATCAATGATTTCGAAAACTTTTCTTTTGGTAGAATAGATCTGTCCTCGAACTTCCCAGGTTGATAATCTTGGGGCACCCATCTCGATCCTTCTCTAATCTCGTACACTCGAAACAATAGAAGGCATCACTGATACCTTCACCACCGCAGACAACACACTTGTTCTGGTAATTGCCGAAGGAGCATTCATCACAGATCCGGACAAGAGTCGTAGGTCGCACGTAGGAATCGCACACGGGGCACTTGCCGTCGCACTTGTCACAGAGTCGGCCGATGGAAATACCAGGCTGCTTGCGGCACATAACGAGATCTGGGTGATGGCGAGACATGGCTGCTGAATTTGCGACGTCGGCGCTGTATTGAACAAGGGAGGTATGTAAAAGTAAGGCTTAGAGCTGCAGAATTGCTGAATATCGCCACTAATCCAAGCGATAAAGATAGTATCGGTAGGACTTCTGAGTTTCGGGTTCTGGGCGCAAATTTAAGGTGGCCAGGAGGGAACTGGCAGTTTATCAATCAAGAGAGAATTGATAGAAGGCGTTGGAAGGAGAAGAAAGAAGATTCCACGGAACGCCTTTTGGTTCAGCAGATCGAGCAAATGGTCCGTGCACGGGAAGTTGGAGTCCCGCCATTGATATCGCGAACTGGACTTACGATACCGGTCGTTCTCGTTTTGGGTGGTTTTCGACGAGACAGTGGATGATCAAAGCACAGTCGCTTGTTAATTCTTTTGATCCTTTCATTACGAGACCTTTTGAAGCTGTTTCCTGGCATTTTCCGCGACTGTCCAGAGATCGTGTCAGAGTTCGCAGCCCCAGATATGGCAGAAGGGTACGATATCTTCTACGCTCTTACTTTTGTGCACGTTTATGTGGCTAACTCGAGATTGATGATTGCTTAGGACACTTGCTTCCGCAGTTGCAGTGCCTGAGCAGGACATCCTGGCTCCATCTCCAGATGCCACCCTCAAGCGAAGAAATTCATCCACTACAGACCAGGATCCAGATAGCAAGCGTCGCCGACTAAGTACCCAAGAGGAGAAGGATCATCCAGCATCGAATCGCAAGCCCTCGTTTTCAGACACAGCAGAGCAGAGGCTAGACCGAAGGGCCAGTCGGCAAGCAAATGGTCGCGATGAGGAGCGCAAGCGCGGACAACGACTATTCGGAGCACTACTCGGGACGCTTTCGCAGCGGTCCAATACAGCAGCTGAGAAGCGTCGAGCAGACATTGAACGGAAGCAACAAGATAAATTGAAACTTCAAGACGAAGAGTACGATGGGTTGAAAAAGAAGAAGAGGGAGGAGCGAGCCGCACTTCGCAAGAAGGAACAGAGATACTACGAAGAGGAATCGGTGAGTGCCCGCTTGCCTCTCAGTTTACGAGCTTGCGAGCTTATGACTGATATTCATAGATGCGAACCCGGCACTCGAATTTGTTGGCAATGGCACATTTTTTGAAGACAAAATCAGAGCCAGTGCTGGTAAGTTATAGGTTTCCAAATGTCTCGGTTTCGGTATTGTGATTGACCTAACCTTTCTTTTCATTGCAGTACTACAGGCCATGGCAATTGCGGCCCGAGGATGAGGACTTGATACGCCGCCAGGTTGAGGAAGCAGAAGCTATCATCTCCCGAGAGCGCGCTGAATTCGAAGCACGTCATCCTCCTCAGGAGGGAAGAGAGTCAAAGAAGGAAAAAGAGACCCAAACTGGTAATCAAAAGGAAGCTCCACAGCCCGACGTGGGTGTCCAAGAGCCCAAAGATACGACCGAGGAAAGTTCAGACAAGGGGAACGCTGAGCAGAATCAAGACCAGAATATTGAAGCTGCTCTACCCGAAACTGTAAACGACGTCCCGGTATCAGTCGATCACACCGATTCAGATGACCATCGGGCAGCTGATGACGATGGGGGAGAGGTGGTCGAGGACAACGAGGATACGGTGATCTATTAATGTCATATTGGGCCTTTTTATCTTCTTGAATATCTAGGCTCTGCCTTTTACCCTACTCTTCCTAATAACTTCTCCTGGTTATTGATCATAACCTCCCGCAAGCATTTGTGGGGAAAAGCAGCAGTAACTCCAGCCGAGGCAGTTCGGCGGCAAGAGCTGGACTTGGCAACAGACCATTCATGGCACAACCGACTCTCCTCCTCGACACGACAGAAATGATATCGGAAATCCCTTCGTCCCATTGGGGTTTTGTACTCCGTAATTCAGGCACTTTCCCCATTCTTATTTGAGCCTTGTCATCTCTGTCCAGGTTGTCCAATACATTTCGTCAGCTTCGAAACGCACGTGACGAGACAACTGGCGGGGGGATCCATAGCTTCGTTGTACATAAATAAGAGCAAAAGTCGGTAGAACCTCGTCTCCAGGTGGTTCTCTATCCTCCTGCAATTGCCCGTTGGCATAAACCAAAATTCAGATATCTAAAATTGTCTGGTCGGCGTTGCAATCATGATTGTTGATAAGATTAACGTCACCGGCGACCCTCGGGTCCAATTCCGTCAAGCAAGGGTCAATGGCAAGCAATACGGTATGCATCTTGTCACTTCAGCACGTGTGCACTTTTTCTGGCAGAACTCCTAAGGTGACGGACTGATTATGCTGGAAGCGTCATCGCAAATCATAGCTTGACCGTTCACTAACTCTATATCTTTAGGCTACCTTTATAGCGAGCCAAAAACAGGCACATACAGAGCTACCATCTTCCTTGTTAGTCAGCTCTTGCTCACCTATAAATGCTTGAGCGAGTAACTAACTCTTTCTTAGCTCCATGGCTTCCCAGACCTATCGATGGGATGGCGGTATCAAATCCCCATGCTGATCGATATGGGATTGCGGGTTATTGCTCCTGATTGTTTGGGATATGGACGAACAGTATGCACTTGGATGCAACTATCTCTCTCGTTTCAATATTCATATGCGCTGACTACGTGATCTAGGATGCTCCAGAGGATATTTCGCTATACTCTCACAAGCAGTGCGCCGATGACATCAAGGAGCTAGGATCACAACTTGGCGCCGACAAGATCATCGTAGGAGGACATGACTGGTACGTTCCTCCTGACTTCCAGCTTTACATTCTGACGGCGCTTATGACTGACCATATCTCACAGGGGCGCTGCATTTGCGTACCGACTTGCTCTCTGGTATCCAGACCTCGTTACTCATTTGTTCACGGTCTGCGTACCGTATAGTCCCCCGACTAAGAAGTACTATCCTTTGGAGGAATTCGTAGCAACGGTTGCGCCGCATTTTGCCTATCAGTTGCAGCTGAAAAGCGGGGACTTGGAACCAGTCATTCGCACAGAAGATGATATCAAGAAATTCCTCAGCGCGATGTACGGCGGTCGTACTGCAAAGGGGGAAGTAGCCTTTGACGCCGGCTTGGGCTTACTCCTGGACAAAATGTTTGAGGTGAAACCATCGAAGCTGCTCAGTGAAGAGGTCAGTTTTCCTTCTCTTTTGTGATCGCTCTCTATGTTTGGTTTTCAGGGTACTGATAGCTGGGAACCTCAGGAACTTAACTATTATGCCAAAGAGTTCTCGAGAACTGGCGTTCGGGGTCCACGTAAGACACCACATATTTCCCTGCCCCGGTAATCTTGTGCAATAATGGAATGGATCGCTAATGAGACTACAGTGAACTGGTACCGGACGAGAGAAGTGAACCACAAAGAAGAACTAGCCATCCTTGACCGGCGCATCACGGCCCCAGTCCTCTTTATTCAAGCTCTCAAAGATGCCGCCCTTCCGGCACATCTGGGCAAGGGTATGACAAAGACCATCCCTCATTTGACCTACAAACAGGTCAATACATCTCACTGGGCTCTGTGGGAGAAGCCCAAGGAGGTGAATGAGATGATCGCTTGGTGGCTGGAGGAAGTGGTATTCACCGATCCTCGTTTGTTCAAGTTGTGAAGTCGCATAAAAATTTGCTATGTACAGATTGTATACGATAGTATATATGTGTGATACTTCGATCATAACATGAGAGGCGTTTGTGGTTTACTTTTTTGGATTGCCGTGTTTACACAGCCAAGGTCATTAGCTTGTTGGAATGAGTATTGTGGCCAAACTTGGATCTCAATTCATTATGGAAAACTGGGCGTAATTAGTTTACATAAACTCTGGCGTTTCATTAACATGATGGGCATAACGTCAATAGACAAAACAACCTTCATTAGGGGCAGCAGGCAAGCAGGGCATCAAAAACGGTGGCTGCGTCAGTAGTCAAAGACCTGAGTCTCGACATGGCATCCAACCTTCTCTAATCGGTCAACAAACGGTTGTCCTAATGTTGCTGGCGTTACTATGCCGCACCGGGACACCTTCTTCACTCGCTCCGTCTCCTCCAAGATGACCATTGCTGCCTCGGCAAGCAGCAAACCAGTCAGTGCATACATCGACCCTTCATACTTGAATTTGCCGAAGACACGCTGCGGTGCAGCGGTCTTTTGATCAGCCGTCGCTACTGCACGGTACTCGACGCGGTCATTGACTGAATCTTCCTTGCGTGGCCCCTGACCTGCGGCGTAGACGACCTTCCGCACCAGCGAGCGAACGGGAGGGAGTATCAGAAGACCCAAGCCGACGATGAAGGCAAAATGAAAGAGCACGCCGACAAGCGCATTTCTAACTCGGATGAATTGCCGGAAATAGAAGCGTGGCCCGTAGAATTTCGGCATCAGGGTACTGCTGCGGTGCACGATGGTGATGTCTGCTATAGCTGATGGCGATGTGGTGAGAGTACCCAAGTCCCGAACGGACCTAACTCCTAGGATCTTGTCTACGAGTGGCTCGCTGGGGACATTCTTGGGGGGCGCGGAGGCGGCCAAAGCGAAGGGGTCGGTGGATTTAAGGATGTCGGAGAAGGAAAGGGAGTCGAAGATTGTGAGGATCGTATTCAGGGTGCCACCGCTTGGTCCGGAGCTCCTACATAGGATCGTTAGGGGATCAGTCTAATTGCATGCAGGTGAGGGTGCGCATACTTCATCTCCTCAATTGCACTAGTTACCTCTTTTGTATCACAGGACAGATCCTCCCGAACTCGTTTAACAAGAGACCAGGCTAAGATATCTGCTGGGGCGCTTTCAACACCGACAGATGGGATAATCTAGAATGAAGTCAGAGCAAGGCGCAGTGCTTCGCAAGTAAGGTGTTACTGACGATAGCTCCGTTAGACTTCGCAACTTCGTGATACTTCTGGATTATTTGCCTAACCCAGGGTGTTTCTCCAGTGCTGCGCAATGGGTATCTTAGTTCTCGTCCCAGTGCTCTCTCAAATAACATTGCAATAACACTCACGCGTCCACATAATGAGTTCCATGATTAGCGCACGCTTCGACAACAGGAGTGCTGTACAGGTGGTATGGGCCAACGCAATTGATTATTACTTTGGTCCTCTGGACAAGAGGGTCGAGTTCTTGCCGATTTAGCTGCACAGCCAGAATCTCTGTAGTGCATCAGCAATGAGTTCGTTCAATGCTCTCGTCTTCAGTTACCTGGCGCGGTGCGGTCAGGATTGAGAGTCTTGAGCTCCTTTAAGATGTCCTCAATCTTCTGCACAGAGCGACCTGCTAGAGCCCATTTCAGGTTCGTCGGCAAGTTCTTGGAAATATGCTCTGCGCAAAGTCTCCCAGTGTAACCCGTAGGACCAACAAGGACCAAGTCGAACTCCTTGTCGGATTCCATGTTTATATGAAAGCGGTCGGACCTCGACGATAATGTACGATGGACTGAAAACTCAAGAAGCTTGACTATGTGACATCAAATAGATACAACTATAAAGACGTCCAAGGGATATAAATGACAATTCCCAGGCACGGACCTTGAAGAAGTCTTAAATGATCAACACATGGGACAGCCGCGCATACCCATTTGTTATCGTCATACCTCGGTCCTACGGGCTAACCGCAAGTAGAAAGGACTTATCGAATGTCATGTGACGATAAGATTCGTGAACTCCTTGTGGGGACCAGATGTAGAGCGACAGTACCAGTAAATAATTGTGGTCAATTTGACTGACAACAGGACAGACTCTAGCCAGATGATTCTTATGCAATTAGCCCCGAGACCATGACTCCTTCGTTAGTCACGGCGACCGTGTAAGAAGCTGGTTCTTCTTGGGTTACACTACTCCGCAGACCTTGAGTAGTAGAAATGCTTGCGCGCTAGCTTTCTCAAATGAGTATAGGATGCAAGCTGCAGGAATTGAGAGGATCAAATCGACATATTGTATAGAGAAATCCATTTAGTTCTTATCATTTATCGATCTCTTTTGTTTCCTTAATGCGCTTAGGATTCATACTTCAGAAAGCAAAGTACATCACGTGATCCGACTTCGCCAAGAGTCCGAACCCTAAGCGAGCCCACCCACAACCAGTCTCTCAAGAAAGCTGCAAGCCTCGATTTCGTCTTACCGCACTGTATCCATCTTTGACCTCAACAGCCGCACACGAGACAAGATGACGAAGCGCACTAAGAGTGAGTGATTTTGATCGAGATAAACCACAGGCACAGGATGGAAAAAAGGATAGAAATACTGACTGCATACTTTTAGAGGTCGGTATCACGGGTAAATATGGTACCAGGTATGCTTTTCGCTCTCGCACCTCGAAATCGATCTGAAGTCGTCTGCGTTCCGCTCTGCTCAATCGAAACCGGAATCGAAAGCGTGGAATATCGGATTCAGGAGAGCTAGAATGGTTGGTTGACATGGCTTGTTCATTACAGATACGGTGCCTCCCTGCGTAAGCAGGTGAAGAAGATGGAAATTACCCAGCACGCCCGCTACGTCTGCACCTTCTGCGGAAAGAACACCGTCAAGCGCCAGGCTGTTGGTATCTGGGAGTGCAAGGGCTGCAAGAAGACCGTTGCCGGTGGTGCCTACACCGTCTCGTAAGTCGACCACACGTTTTTCTCCCTTGTTCCCAGCCGTCTCGATCGCCACGCCTTGGAACAGGCCAGACTGGTGAAAGAAAAGCCTGGAGTCTTCACGGTGACACGGATACTGACCGATGTGACTGTACTACAGGACACCCGCCGCCGCTGCCACCCGCTCGACCATCCGTCGTCTCAGAGAAATCGCGGAGGTTTAAATGTGATGATGGGATTCTCTTTCTGTTTAACGTCTGAATTAAAATCAAAATAAATTCAAAACCTGGAGAATCAGCAAGAACACATTCTCGTAACGGATACCACTTGTCGATGTCGATAGCATACTTGCCTCGTCGAATCAGACTTTTCAATAAAACGTTTTCCACCTGGACGATCTGGGTCCGCTCAACTTGTGCACCACGTGAAATCCTTTTTCATCATGTCACGTCCTACATGCAGAACGCTAGATCAGATCCCATGGTGATTCAGGAGCTCACTTGAATGGGAGTGATTGATGAGTCTCCTGACTGCTCAAGCATTGTCCATGAAGTAGGTGCGAGCGGATGTCCAGCCTGTGTTTCCCCAAAATCATTCCAGAGTACTTCGTAGATGAATTCCCTCTTTTCTCTCTGGTTAATTATGAGAACCAAACCGATTGACCGCCAAACCAATTTGAGTTTTTCCTCTGGCTTGGCTGGCGCAAAATCCTAGCAGAGATGACCGGATTAGCGATGATCTGGCTTAAAAAGTTAATTATGTTTGAGGCCAATTTCTGTTGAATAAGTATCAGGTAGGCATTCATTACATAGCTAAATGAAATCAACTTGAAACTACAATGACTGATGAATTAAAGGCTAGATATTACTTCGTTAGCTTTACTTTATAGCTCTAACAATTCTCGAGAAGGGAAACAGGTGCACAACTAGACTAACACCGCAAAGAGGGGCTCCTCGCATTCTGCTGAGCTGCAAGGGCAGAGCGTCCTCCAAGCACCATTAATCGCCGGCATGACAATGATGAGGAGGTTTTGCTTAGCTCTCAGCAGTTATCCTGTCTGCTGATTCGCCTGGTGCGTAGCCGGTCACGTTCCTGTCCAGGCTGTTTTGCGTTAGATCGGATTTTAGGTCCACCTTCAAAAGGCCGCCTGCTTTCTCCCCACATCACTCGACCTGCTCTCTCTCCCCTTCTCCTTCTACGCCTCTGCCCTTTGATCTTTCCTGCTGGTTGCTCTTCATGCCTTCTCACAGCTTTCCTGCAGACAATTCTGGCACTTATTCCTCTGTTCATGGCCGACACTTGTATTGTGTGCTTAGGAGACCTTGGCGAAAGCGCCAGCGATTCTCTTGCCATCGCCGCCGAGGCCGTGCCAAGACCTGACCTTCAAGTAGAAGGCAAGTCAAGTGACGCTTCTACCAAAACAGGCGGCGTGGATGACAATGAGGACGCAGGTCAAATCGCCCAGCTACTTCCTTGCGGTCATACTCTACACAATAATTGCCTAAAACCATGGGTCGAAAGAGCCAACAGCTGTCCCATATGTCGTCGCAGCTTCAACCTAGTGGAGCTGAGTGATCGTCTCGGAGGTATGTCCTTCCACTTCCACCTCACCTCGACCTGAGGCTGTTTCTTGATTCTTGGAGATTCGTGCTAATCTTCGGGGCCTTTATGGTCTTTTTGTAGGTCCTGTCATCTCATCATATGCGGTAGAGGACCGAGTTCAAGTGGCCGATGTCGATCCCTCAATGGTCATCGATTACGTAGACGATGATTTGGCCGACTTTCAACCTTGTCTTATTTGTGGGGATGCGGACAACGAAGAGCTGCTCCTCCTTTGCGATGGCTGCGATGCTCCGTCGCATACCTACTGCTTGGGGCTCGACGAGGTGCCATCTGGACCCTGGTACTGTTCGCGGTGCCAAACCCAACGTGCCCGAGCATTGTCGCCAGATACCGCTAGATCTGCCAGGACGCATGAAAGGCGAACTCGTCGCACGAGAGCACAGCAGCGTAGACTTCAAAGCAGGAATCAGATGAACTCTCTCCACTGGGCGCGCGTGTGGCAATCAGTCTGGGACCATTTGAACCTGGACCTGGACTTTCCATTCGACGATGACGGGGCTACTGCGCGTGCTATCCAACAACAACGCCGAGAAGAAGCCAATCAACGAGAGTTTCGAGCCTGGCAGCGCCGGTTCGAGGTTGCTGAGCGGCAAGGCGGCAGCAACCGGTTTCGGGATACTGCTGCCCTTCTTGATATCGAGGCGCCACGGCCATCACGACCTCGCGTCCCAAGAGAACCGACACCTGAACCGGAATCTCTTGAAGAGATGAGGGCTTGGAATGCCTTTGAACGAGCTCGCGAGATAGAAAACAACCCGAGTGCAGCGAGAAAGCGCAAGGAACCCACACTATCCCCTTCGCCAGAGCCTACAGAGCCGGAGCGGAAGCTCAAACGTCCTCGGACTCGAAGGCCGCAAGAGCTAGCGGCTCTAGCCCTCCAAAACGGCGAATCCTCGAGAGCAGCTGCTCACGCTTCTGCTCGAATCAATGCTGAAGGTTCCAGCGAGCCCAGCTTCCTTCAGTCTCTCCTGAAAGAAGTAGAAGAGGCATCGAATCCTAGCGGTAGCAATTCGCATAACCCATCTGCACCTGTCTCGGTCGCTGCCACGGACCACAGCAGTATCGGTCCATCCTCTCCCTCCATTTCGCCTGCTCCTTCCAATCAGTCTTCCCCTCGACTGTCATCTGCGACGCCTCCCCCCTATCCTCGCAGCAGGCCCATCTCCCCCATACAACTTGCGTCGCCCGCAGAACATTCGTCTCCTCCCTTCTCGCCGATTGTGTCACCATCAGATTCCAATAACGATGTCCGGGAAACAACACCATCGCACGTTGGGTCAAGCCGCCCACGTTCTCGAATTCCTAGGGCAGCACTGCGATTGACAGCACGGTCAACTGAGAGCTCGCCCACTCGCCCTGGCCTATCTCTAGCGGTCAAATCCGACATTCAAAAGCTGGTTGGAGGTGCACTCAAACCGTATTATCGTTCAAAGGTGGTCTCGAAGGACCAGTACACGGATATCAACCGTACTATTTCGCGAATGCTATACGAGCGAGTGGGAAATGCGCAATCCCTAGACACCGAGACCAAGAATAGCTTTGGAAAACTCGCCGCCGAGGAGGTTAACAAAGCAATCGATGGTCTCCGAGCAAAGGATGAAGACTCCCTTGCGGATAGTAGCTCTTGAGGACACAGAAGATTCTTTGCAACTACCGGCGTTTATGCAGCGATTTATTTGTTCTGCGAGTTAAAAGCATACAGCGAGGCGTTCATCTTCACAATCGGACTCGGCGCAGCGTCTTTGGATACCCGCTTAGGAATATGGGACATGTTGATGGTTCTACATTGAGGGGCAGGATCTCTCACAATATCTTTTCAATGTATCTTCAGCGACAGCATAGAGCATTTTATGTCCTAATTGCTGGCTCATCCGATAGCTGGTACATATATGACTGAACAGAATTCATGACATATTAAGAAGTGTATTATTCCAGTGAAAAGAGGGTAAAAGACGCTCGACTCATTGTGTGGTTGTTTTCTGTTATTTGGAAGCATAGAGTATTAACTAGGTAGATCGTCTGCCAGGTGGAAGGAGAAGGTTGATATGGTGAGTTCCAGTCAGATTCATCATAGGTAGTACTGTTTGTCTTCTCTTCCCGCTAAGAATATTGGGTATATGCGCATAATGGCTCATACAGAAGATCTAGGCCTCAAAAAAATAAAAAATAAAAAAAAAATAAAAAAAGCCTCAACACTCCATGTTATGCAAGTATGAGTCTCATAGACAAAGCCGTGCCCTGTGATTGAGTTGGAGGAAATGAAAGCCTTACTCCTCAACCTGCTATCAAAGAAAGACACTGACCACAGCTCTAGTTACGTATGGGACTAACAAACCATTAGTCAAACAAGAATATATACACACTGACGTGAGGCTTTAGTGATGGACTAAGTCTGTGGGGAGAATGGACAATTTAGCTGCCTACCTGGCGGTCGAATTTCTATGGCGTGATCTTATCCTTCTATCGATCGGAAGCACAAGCATCAACATCTACCGAGACAGTCGTCGGCGGCCGTACTTAAGTCCATGGCAGATCAAGCGGCTGACAAAGGCCGAGACAAGTGGAAAATTTCTGACGTAGTTGTCCAATCAGCAGCTCCTATTGCACCAAACGTATCTCGGTCGGTCGTTCGGTTGTTCGGTGGCGCCGAAGAGCGAAGAGCGGATCATCGCGACGCTAAGCTTTGCTCCATGGAAGACTGATTCATATTGACGATTTGAAGATTTCCAAGCCAACAAAATCTTTCCTTTCACACTGACACATGGACGGAGTCGGCGTTAAGGGCTCGCGTTTTTCCCACCTTGCGATGACCTCATTTTATGTGATTGTCAATCCACAATACAGAGGTGCTCGGGATGTAAACACCAACCAATAATGGGCGAAAATGGTACCTTTTATCTTTTTACCTTCAAACCAGTTAGTGGCAACAGGGTCACAGGGCCCCACGGGCCTGTCCAGTAGGTATCGATTTAACATCTCCTTCAGGCTTGACCACCGGAGTCTCTTCGGGATATCGGCATCGGACATAACCACAGGACTACTCCGTAGGGACCCAGTGCGAAAGGTGGTGGGGAACTCTTCCATCTCTTACATACTAGTTTGCTTAGTGGCCATGGCTCTCTTCTGTCGGGTTTCCATGATATCTCCAGAAGCCGGTTGCTTTATCAGCTTTTCCCTGAAGGCCCACTTTGGGAACAAGATGGTTCCCTTAAAGCTCTGGACACACCCTCCGTGTGGAATTCAGGGACCGTAGATATCAGATGCAGCGTGCTCTATCCCCTAAGAGTCTATAGTCCACTGATTAGACTGCTCTACTAGATCTTGTTTGATCTTTCCCTTATCATTGGTGCTTTCAGCCTGTCATCTGTTATCAAAAGCTTTCCTTCAGGGGTGAGGGATAGAGCCAGGAATACTGAATTCGGCAAAATTCAGTGATGGCCTCTGAAAATCAGAACGACCGAGTATACAACTCCAACGAGACAACTCCTCGCATCACGCAGGAGACCCTATCAGAGCCCCCTACATCAGATCTGAATACGAAATCCAAAGATAGTTTCGATATGGAGGACCAAGCGCCGGGGCCCGAGAGCCCTGATGCAAGAGACCTGGAGACAGAGAGCACAGATATCGAACGCGCAGACGGTCAACCGTCCGAGAAGACACCCGCAGCAGATTCCAATTTGGTAGAATGGGATGGCCCAGACGACCCCGAGCACCCGCAAAACATGCCACACTGGAAAAAATGGGTCTTGACGATGACTTTATCCTCGATGACCATGTGGATCACCTTCGCTAGCAGCGTCTTCTCAACTGCAACGGTGGTGACGGCTAAGGAGTACCACGTATCAACTGAAGTCATGACTTTGGCTACCAGTCTGGTCGTGTTCGGATTCGCTCTTGGTCCCATCGTGTGGGCTCCCATGTCTGAGCTCTATGGACGCAGGCTGCCGCTGTTCTTGGGCTACGCCATCTTCGCAATCTTCCAGATTCCCGTAGCAGTGGCACAAAATGTCCAGACCATCATGGTCTGCCGCTTCCTCATCGGTGTTTTTGGTTGCTCGCCTCTAGCGGTTGTTGGCGGCGCAATGGCCGACTTCTGGGATCCCGTCGACCGCGCTGTGGCTATTGCCTTGTTCTCGGCTGCCACCTTCGTTGGTCCTACACTTGGCCCTATCATCGGTGGATTCATCACGGAGTCGTATCTCGGCTGGCGCTGGACTGCATGGATCACGTTGATTCCGTCTGCGGCCTTCGGCACTCTGGCCTTCTTCATTGTTCCTGAGACCTACGGTCCTGTCATCCTTCAGAGACGCGCGGCTCGCCTTCGCCGCGAGACGGGCAACTGGGCACTGCACAGCCTCCTCGACGAAAGTCGCCCTACCGCTTCCGAAATCGTCAACAAATATCTGCTGCGCCCTATTCAAATGCTTTTCCTCGAGCCAATCCTGTTGCTCATCACGATCTACCTGGCACTGGTGTATGGAATTCTGTACCTTTTCTTCGAAGCGTACCCTATATCGTTCCAAGAGGTTCGCGGCTGGACCAACGGAGGCATTGCTGGCCTTCCCTTTATCGGAATCCTGGTCGGAGTAGTCTGTGGCGTGGCATTGATCGTCTGGCAGACCAAGACTCGGTTTGCACGCAAGTTGGCGAAGCACGGCCGCGTTGTCCCTGAGGAGCGTCTAGTTCCAATGATGGTCGCATCCGTTCTTCTGCCGGCCGGTCTCTTCTGGTTCGGCTGGACCTCGAGCCCTCATATCTCGTGGGTGCCTCAGGTCCTTGCAGGGATCCCCATCGGCATGGGCATCTTGGTCATCTTCATGCAAGGTCTCAACTACATCATCGATGTGTACATGATGTTCGCCAACTCGGCCATCGCTGCCAATACGCTGATTCGAAGCAGTCTCGGTGGTGCCTTCCCGCTCTTTGCCGTGCAGATGTACAATAAGCTCGGCGTAGCTTGGGCCTCCAGTCTGCTTGGTTTCATCACGGTTGCGATGATCCCGATTCCCATTGTCTTCTATATCTATGGCAAGAAGATCCGAGCTATGAGCAAATACTCTCCCAAGCTCTGATGCTCATCTGTCTCTTTCTTTATATACCCCTGTTTGCTATTTCATGTCCAAAAATAGATGTGGTTGTCTCCTGTCATCGGCTAGGCGTTGTTTATGGGCACTTGCATTTGCATTTGGTTGGATGGACGGTTATGGCGATTATGCATGATACATTTTAGCGATCACAAGCACTCAGATAGACAGCGATCCAAGTTATATAATTAATATTGACCATGCACACATTGTTAAAAAGGTGTAGTCCATGTCAAGGAGTTGATAGACATCTCATGTACAAAAGTGGATAGCCGAAGCAGCTAAAACAGGCGACAGTGAGACTTCCATCAGGATCAAACTATAGGTTGTAAGCGAACCAAAAATTAGAGGCATCAATATTGAGACATCAACATGCCTGATTTTGATACCGACATACTACTGTGACTTCGCCAAATTCGAGAAAGCTCCACACAAAAGAGAAAAGGCAAAGCAAAAACACGCTATTATTATTGAGCGACGCGTCCCGCGGTGTCTTCAGGGCGGTGACAGTCGAAACCGCCGGCGATCTTTCGAAACGGACAGACGGGCCTCGAGATTCGACTGCTTGTCCCCCGTCCAAGCCTGTCGCCAACCATCACTTTTGCTATCCATCTCCGTCGCTTATTTTACTTGCTTGGAGATCGGATTCTTCTTCATTGCATCTATTTTTCAACCTTCGTCTCTTCCGTTCCAGCGCATGGTGTGCTGAAGCTTACGCCCTGAAACCCTCCCCGGCTTCCCCGCGCTTCGTCCACGATGCCTGCGCGCACTCGTCAAGGTCCCTCCACCGTCACGGAGGTCGTGGAGCCCGAAGAGACGTCCGGAGGCCTTCGCAGTCTCAAGTTCAATCAGCCGCTTTCCTGGCGCGTGGGGAGGGCCATCCCCATTGCCGATTTGCTTCAACGTCTACAGACGCTCGCGCAGGAGCTTCGCAAACTCGAACAGGAGGAGATTGATAAGGAATCCCTGCGAAAGGTCTCGCAGGAGCTGGCGACGGCGAATCTGCTGGCTCATAAGGATAAAGGAGTTCGAGCTTGGACGGCTTGCTGCATTGTTGATGTCTTGCGTCTCTGCGCGCCTGACGCGCCGTTTACGGGGAATCAGCTCAAGGTTCGTTTTGAATCGGGTTCTGTATTGCTGTTTCTGCCTTGCAGGGCTCCATGGAGATGTTCTCCAGATGTTCTGGGCTTTGATCTAACCATTGTGATCATTAGGACATTTTCACTTGCTTCGTGACCTCCATCATCCCCGCTCTTGGGGATCCATCCAATACCTATAATGCTCAACACATCTACGTGCTCAACTCCCTGGCGGAAGTGAAGAGTATCGTGCTCATGACCGATTTGGATCAGCCGGACTCCTTGATTATTCCGCTCTTCACCACATGTTTCGACATCGTCTCCGGTTCCTCCAAGGCCTCAACGGGGGAGGAAATCGCCAAGAACGTGGAGTTCGACATGACCCGCCTCTTGGTGACTGTGATCGATGAGTCGCCAATTCTCGCGCCCGACGTGGTAGATATCATCGTGGCACAATTTCTGCGTGTTGACCCCCGCGTGCTAGAACCCCTGAACAAGAGAGGCAAGAAGGCAGATACGCCGGTGGACTCAAAACAGGGCACACTCCTGCTCAAGGACTATCCGCCAGCATATAACATGGCCAAGGCCATATGTCAAGCGTGTCCAGAGAGGATGACGAGTCATATCAGTCAATATTTTAACAATGTAATTATTGACGCTTCTGGCTCCGGGGGCACAAACGGGTCCTCGAAACATCATCGCAAACCGAACCTAGACGATTCCGACGAGGAGGCTGAGGATGTCAAGGAGTTGAGTAAGGCTCACCGTCTTATCCGGGAGCTCTGGAGGGCCTGTCCCGATGTGCTGCAGAATGTGGTTCCCCAACTAGAGGCCGAATTGTCCGCTGAATCAGTATCATTACGCTTGCTGGCTACACAGACGATAGGTGATCTCACTGCTGGTATTGGAGTCGCCGGTCCACCTCCACCTCCGCCAATGGATCCTGCAGGTTACCCACCGGTAACTTTGGCAGACTATGCGCAGATGATCCCTCAGCCCAACGTGCTCGTCAAGCCTTTGTCCCCGAAGCCGTTCTCCCAGGCACATAGCTCCACATATGAAAGCTTTCTGAGCCGGCGCTTTGACAAATCCGCTTCCGTTAGAGCTGCCTGGGTCACTGTCATAGGCCGCATTCTACTGACATCTGCAGGTGGCTCTGGTCTCAGTGAGAACGAGCAGCAGACTCTCATCGAGAATCTGTCATCAATGCTTCGGGACGCAGATGAGAAAGTCAGGCTGGCGGCAGTTGATGCGATCGGAACGTTCGGTCTATCAGATGTTGTGAACAAACTCGGATTGGGTGGCGGCTTCTCAACTCCAGATTCGTTGCTTGCCGTCCTTGCAGAACGAGTCAAAGATCGGAAGTCTCAGGTTCGAGAGCATGCGACGAGGACGTTGGCGCGGATCTGGGCCGTTGCAGCGGGCGACATCGAGCAAGGGAACGAACAGGTGGTCTCTCTACTCAAGGACGGGCCGTCAAAGATCTTCGATGCTTACTATACAAATGACCCGGAGATCCATATCTTAATTGATCGTGTGCTCTTCGAGATTCTCCTTCCCCTCAATTATCCTCCGATCAAGCCCAAACTATCACGGAGCGGTTCCAGTCAATCTCAGAACCAGAAAGAATCACAAAGTGCTGAGGCCGATAGCGATGCCGACATCGACAAGATACGTGTTCGTCGCATTCTCACTCTTCTCGCAGGGCTAGACGACAAGGCCAAAAAGGTTCTCTACGCAATGCAGGGTCGGCAAATCTCTGTCAGAAACTTTGTGGACTTCTACCTAAAAGCGTGCGAGGAGTACAATGTAAGTGTTGAAAGAATGCTCAGAGTTGATTGAGACACTAATGGCGAATGTAGGGAGGAGTAGTGGAGAAGAATGAGGATCAAATCAAGACTAAAGTATCTCGAGTTATCGATTCGCTCTCCAAAACCTTCCCAGACTCGTCGCGAGCATCTGCGGATCTGTGGAAGTTCGTCAAGCTTCACGACCGTCGTAACTACCAGCTTATTCGCTTCGCGATGAATGTTACCAGTGACTATCGCACTGTCGTCAAGGCCATCAGAGAGCTGGCGAGACGCATTCAGAGTGCCAACAATTCGTCACTGCTCGAGACGTTCACTCCATTGCTGTACCGCAGCAGTTCCCTGATCTTTAACCGAAGTCATACGCCGGCGATTATGGAACTCTCTCGGACGGACGAGCATGGTCTCGCCAACCCGGCACACGAGATTCTACGGGAGATTTCGTCTAAGAACCCAGAAGTGCTGGAAGCTCAAGTTCAAGAAATGTGCAAAGACCTGGAGTCGCAAGCTCCAAAGGCCACAACTGCCACTGCCGGCGGGACCGAAGAGATTCTCAAGGCCTGCTCCGGGTTCGCACGAAAACTTGCCGATAAACTCCCCAAAGATCGCAAGTTCCTACAGGCTCTTAGAAGCTACGCTCTTCATAGCCCATCCCCTCGAGCCGCCAAACATGCCGTCTCAATCCTCATGGCAGTCGCTGATAAAAGAGAAATGTACGCGAAGGATTTGGTCCAAGCATGTGTTTCGAAGTGGAAATACGGATCCGATCGTTTCCTGACTAAATTGGCAACATTGTCGCAGCTGAATCTCTTGGCTCCGTCGGAAGCGGATGAAGAAAGTGACGCCATCATCTCGATCGCTGTCAACCAGATTCTTTTGACAAATCGTTCCCCTCAGCCAGATGCCGGGTACTCCTGGTCAGATACCGTGGACGATGAGACGGCTGCTAAAGAGTGGGCTCTCAAAATCATTGTCAATCGGCTTCGAGCCAAGAAAGGTTCGGACGGCGATGACGATTTCCGTGCCCATGCCGTACCTGTATTCGAGACATTGAATAAGCTCGTGGCGAATGAGGGCGAGTTGTCAAAGAAGAAGGACACACCAGCGACACAGAAATCACGCCTTCGCCTCCTGGCCGCCAAATCACTTGTCAAGCTGTGCGCAACAATCAGTCTATGCGACCAACTGCTTACACCGCTGGACTTCAATTCGATTGCCCTAGTGGCTCAGGACCCCATCGTAGCCGTGAGAAGCGGCTTCATTTCCCAGCTCAAGAAGCGACTCGTGCAAAGGTCACATCTGAGCTACCGCTGGTACATCGTTCCCTGCCTCCTTGCATTTGAGCCGAATGCGAGCTTGAAGGACAGTACCCTTACCTGGCTACGGTCTCGTGCTGCATTCTTCTCACAGCAGGTTCAGAGCAGTGGCCAGAAGGAGACTGTCATGGAGTCGATCTTTTCTCGTCTTCTCTCTCTCCTCGCATACCACCCCGATTACCCGTCTGCCGACCTGGATGAAGCGACACAGGTCCGCGACCTAACTGATTTTGCACGCTATATCCTCTTCTATCTCACGGCCGTTGCGAATGAGCACAACTTGTCGCTGATATTCCATGTCGCGCAGCGGGTGAAGCAGGCGCGGGATGGCATCACCAAATCAGACGAAATCAGCACCCGTCTTCACACGCTTTCGGACTTGGCACAAGCAACGATTCGTCGCTTTGCAGACATCTACTCCCAGCAGCGCAGATTTGGCGGAGGCGCTGGCGCTGCTAGCATCCTCCAGACTTATCCTGGCAAGGTCGGAGTGCCAAGCTCGATCTTTGCTCGGATGAACAGCCACGACGAAGCCCAGGAGGTTGCTGAAAAGAACTTCCTTCCTGAAGATGCTGAAGAGCTTCTCGATCGTCTTGTTCGGTCTGTCATGAAAGCAAAGAATGGATCGTCGAGTAACGCGCAAGTCAAGAAGAGAAAACCAGAGGCGGCCGATACGAACGGTAACAATGGCTCTGCCAAGAAAGCAAGAAAGGAGAAAGTGAAGACATCACGACCCCGCAGATCCTCTGCTGGTACAGCCTCGAAAACACCCAAGAAAAAGAAGAAGGGTGAGGACGGGTGGTCCTCTGATGAGGGGGATGCCCCTGCAGAAGTGACAGCATCTGCTCGGAGACGCAGCGGCCGCGGAACATCGAAGAGGGTCAGTTATGTGGACAAGGACAGCGATGAGGACGACATGGAAGTGGATGAATGGGGACAAGAGGACAATGAGCAAGAGGATAACGAAGATGAGGCAGAAAGTGAGGATGCCAGCGACGCCGCCGAAGGGGAAGTCGACGATGAATCAGATAACGAAGAGCAGTTGAGTGAAGCCGAAGAACTAGAGGATCCAGAGGAGCCCTCAGAGACAGCCGTCGCAAAGACAGAAGAAGAAAAGCCCGAGACGAAGAACAAACGCAGTGATAAGACAGCTACTTTGCCGACAAGAAGATCCTCTCGAAGGGGCTAAAAATTGTTCGACAGTCAACGTATGAGTGGAAATATCGGAGTGGATGGATTCGATATCCCCTTCTTCGCGTCGAGATGTATATGACTCCCGTGATTGCGAGTTGTCTTTTTTCTTTTCTCATCGTTCCTTGATGGAATGACTGTGGCCAGTGTTCTTGATGCTTGACTAAGAATGAGCCGTCCTATTACCTTTCTTTGTTTCATTTCCTTTCACACTGGAGTTGCATCGAAATGTGTATACCCATTTTCATTGCCAATTTATCTGCCTTTTATCTGATGCAGTTGCTAAAATATTGATGTGATGTATTTGAGGCGGAATATAAGATGTGATTATTCATTCATTGATGATACAGTCACCGTTCTTACGGTTTATTTAGTCTTCCTTCAGGGCACTTCCGGCCTGGAGTCTCCCACCCTCGAGATGGACAAAGGCTTCCATGGAACGCTGAGTTTCTATGGAACGAAATTTCCCCAGGAGAACCTCCAAGTGACGAATATGGATTGCTGAGTTTGAGACAGCGACGCAGAGACGCCGATGATCAGATATCTCTTCAGCTTCATTGGATCCCTTAATTTACTGACTCTGTGGGACTAGACGTGGAGTGGATGTTAGGACTGTGAGCCTACAACTGCGATAGCTTTTGAGGCTGAGTAGCATTATCCTCCTCTTGTGACTTATCATCCTTGCTAATTGATAGACGTGGTTCCAGTACATAGCCCAGCCTTCATGTCCCTCATTCCGTATTTGCAAGGCACCCTAGTCAAATGAACCATATCAACTGGCTAGCCTTGCACAGCCAAGGAGAAACAGGTCTATGACCAGAATTAAGGGTCGGAACGCAGCCGCGCCTAGCAAGGAGGCATTCTCTGTGGGTGTAGTGCCAGTGGTGGACACTGAGCTGGCTTGATGTTCGCTGCTTGAATAGGCTACTTTGAACGCGGACTAAAGCACAGCCCTATCACAACCTATCTAGCGTGTTGGACATTAAACAGCTGATCGATGCCGCAGCGCATGACATGACACCTGGCTAGTTGTGTATATGAGAGATCTTTGGCAGCTAAGCCTCTATATCTTAACAGAATCCCCCAGCTCGCTTGTCCTTGCTACCATGTCTTATGAAAATCACTCTCCTGTCAGTCCTACCTTTTATTTCGAACTCAACGCCAGAAAACCATCACCTCTCATATAACCTTCCCATCATACAATCAACGCCAACATGTCTCACAAAACTGGTGGCTACTTCTACTATCGATACAGCTACATGTGCCCTTGGACAGACACGGCCGGACAAAGCGGTACAGATAACACATACCACTCTGCTGTTTACACTCCGGCGCGGAAGCAAGACCACACAGCGCAAACCACTTGGTACAATAACACGGCCATGCCCGCTGTGAAGGCTGATATTGAAAAGAATTTCTACGGTGATGCAGATCGAAACGGGCAAGGCCGGACCTATGAGCGTTACAACCAGCGATACGTTAGACAGCAGGAATTTATGTGGTGTTCCAAGCTTCCGACTCATACAACCGGGGGAATGCAAGACCGGCCATTTGGGAAACAGGTCTAGCGGAATGCTCCCAGCAACGGAGCGTCTCTGTGTTTTCTTTCCGTTAAGATATTGAATATTTCGTGCGGTCTCGTGGATTGGGATGTAATCATGGCCTTGCCTTGGTGACATACGAAGGTATGGGCTAGGTATTTTCATGTTTTTTCTGTGTCGATAAGTAGTAGCAACAATGCTATCTCAAGTGAATCTTTGGGAGTGTGGCAACCTTTCGGGTCGTTCCCCCGTACCAGGGATCCTTGCGCACCCGTGTCCGGTGGGCTTACTCCCAGATCTCCTCTGCAGTGTATCCATACCAATTATGTATCTCCCTCCATGCCACTTCGCCCTCAGGCTGTGTACGTAGGAGCCGGATTGCTTCTTCGTTGATTACTCGGGCGCCCGCCAAGTAATGCAGAGGGGTATTGAGATCCGAATCGTACGCTATAACCTGCTGTGTTCCTGATGCGAGAAGGTAACGCAGCAGCTCCAATTGCGCCGGAAACTCCGCCTCGCATGTAGAAACAGATAATTCCTCCTCCCCTTGAGAAGCCCAGAAACCTGTTGCGGCCCGCACCCGCGGCCGACGGAACCCCAGATTCTTGATTGATTCCCGGGCCTTGGACGCGTAACGTTGGATTGCCGAGGGCAAACAAGCAATGTGTAGCAAACTATGCCCGTAAGCTGTACGGCCTGCGCTATCCAAAGGAACGTCCCGTTCAACGCGCTGAAGCGCCTGCAGAGAGTGCGCGGCAGCTACATGCAGCACGTGAACGCACATGTACGGCGTCCGGAAGTCGAAATCCAATCGCGGGTCTTCGGCGAGCACGTTGTACGCGGCCTCATTCCACGGCTCGCTATCCAGCAGAGTGGCCATCAGGGGTGTGATGCTGGCTTGCACGTAGGCGAGAGGAAGCACGTTCGGATTGAACCCCTTGGCCAGAAGATGATGCAGCATGTCCGTGTTACCGCTTGCAATAGCCTCGTGAATTGGTGACGAAAGCGCCAGAGCTGACGGTGTCGGCGGCTCGGGGATAGCTGCCAGGGACGGGTTTGCCGTCCAAAATGAATGGTCCGCACCGTGCAATATGAGCTGGTCCACAATAACGGTTGAATCAAGGCCCGCAGCAATGACCAGGGGTGGAGCTGGTTTCTCATACCGACTGCGCCATATCACGGAACCGCGGTCAGAACTGGTCCAAAACTCGGCCACTGTGCGCTCCTCGACCTCCTCCTTAGTGATGTGGACTGTCTGGGGAGCCGATGTCCCCTTCATAGCCCATATTCAGATCGACTGGAGGGCGAAATCGTAGAAATAGTGCTTGGAAACTTTCGTATACACTCAGCTCAAAGCCGTCCGGGTTGGCAGCCAGCTTCAAGAGAAGAGTAACGTGGTGTTCAGACTGTCTCCGGATCGCTGCCGTCAAAGCTGAGTGACACTGATTTTCCACAAACCAGCCAAATCTGTAGTTCGGGCTGAACCGACACCGCTTCTGCGCGCAGAATTTGCGCTTAATTGAGGCCCAGTAAGCCGAGGCGTCTGCATCTGCCAATTCAGGGGTCAACAGAGGAAGACGCAGCTTACGATCCCGCTGCTTCTGAACAAAGTGATGCCATCCCTGGTTCAGAAAGGACTGTAATTTCTCGGGATCAGGATCGGCAATGACGTCCGCTATTGTTTCAGCGTCTTTGGTACCAGTTACCGCGCAACGACAGTCAACAAGCTGCTCTATCGTATGAAAGGACATCACTTTCCGGTGGATTCGTCGTGAAATTGGAGCTCATCGTCCATTGCCGTCTGCCTCAAATTGTCCAAACTCAGAGCCATTAGTCTTATTGTCAGTGTATTGCCAGATTTACTTTTGTCGAGAAATGAGGCGATACTGGAGAAGATGCCCAGTGATTCTAGGGTGTTTTATAGGTAGTGGCCCCAGATCACCTGACACCTGCTTTTCAACCTGCCGTACGGAGTATATTCTCTCTTGTTTTGGGTAGACGTGGATATTTCTCTCAGGTGGAGATTAGATTGTCATTCTTATAACAGCCTTGTATAAAGCGCCCTCGCGATAGTCTCATCATCTTTATCTTATCAACGGTGATCAAAATGAAAGAAAGCAGTTATTTAGTGGGCGAGGGCGCGAGGCTGCAGTATGTGGTGAAGGGTGGGGTGAATAGGGCAGCGAGGGTGCTAAACTGAACAAATCAAAAAGATGAGAAAGCAAAAACATACAACAGCCGGGATTCGCTGGTGGTCACCCACCCAACTACTAACCGGCCGGCGTGTGGCTTAAGTACGGCTGAGCGGACGGGAAGCCCTGTTTTCCACACCCTATGGTCGTATGTGCTAGAGGTAAGTTATGACTGGTTTATATCGAGGGTAATCAAGAAAAAGACCGCCGATCAAGATGTCGTGGACGAATAATGTTTGGCCTTCGAGGGAATTGAAAGAGAATCTCACCTGTGGCAAAGTCTTTCCATCTCCATTTGCTAGGTATGGCTGGCTATATAATATTTATGTCCTATTTGGTAGGTAAAAAGGAGAACCTGGAACATCTCCATGCGAAAGAGAATACTTGGGATGGGCCAGGGGAAAAAATCAATCACTGCATCTACACGGGATTGAACCATGGACCTTTCCATTACGAGTGGAACGCTCTACCACTGAGCCATAGATGCGAGGACGGGAATAAGGTTTCGCCTAAATGGTTTATACACAGGACCATTCCTCTTCCTATCATCTGTAACAGAACAGTTGCAGAGGCAGCTCCTTTATCTCCGTGATGCCAACTCTCGCTTTGTATCTTGAAAATCTGCTGGGTGTCTATACTGGTATAGTATTAGGTGGTAGCCTTCCTGGAGATAGTGACGTTGTTTCACTCTCTACTGCGCTCAGCAGATGTGCACAAAATATTTATTGCTTCAATGGTTACATCCAAACTCATAATCTATGCTGCTACGTGTTGGGTTACTGGATATATGCAATGATGGGGTCCGTGAGTACAAAAAGAAGCAGAGTTCTCATTGCACATCAACCTAGCGTGATTGTTGTGCTAGTCCTTAATAATATATATACACTAGTGAGGTGCTCTTAGACATCATATGTGCTGTTGGTAAGACCCTCCATTAAATATCTGTGGCCATACCGCATTCAACCCAGCATAAGGTGAAAGGAGATTCATGTTTTAATGCCCGTACATATGATCCAGGGGCAGAGGGTTAACTTTGACATCTATGCACTATTAGTAATGGACATGGAGGTTGCATTAATAGACCTGGGCCATTATTGCATATTATGCCCATGCTGTGGTATGCATGCCTGATCTCAGGATATCATGAGGTCAGGGTGCTATAGATGTGAAATTTCCCTAGGTCTCAGGATTTATGATTCTCCCATAACCTACATAAGGGAGATAATCAACAGATACACTAAGCATACCGTCTGCTACATATAGAGTCACGCAATCAAAGAGTATAGAGATGATGATTACCCTTTATCAATCGCTCAAAGACATGTACATCAAACAACAAAGGGTCCTGAAGACTCCACAGGGAAATAACAAATTATACATTGATGCGAAAGGTAAAAACACCACTTGATCGTGTACTCGTCATGAGGAGGCACCGTTAGCAGCTGCCTTTGCGAGTCTTTCCTCTACGCGCTCCTTATGTTGTCGATTCCTCAAATGAACCTCAAAGTTGTCGACCGTCATCCCCGGACCGGGAGTATACAACTTACCCGGACAATCGTGACAGCGAATCCGAGGAAGATATTGATACTTCAATCGGTGGCCCGGCTGGCTATTTGCGCTTGCGACTGGTAACATCGTCTCCGTATCAACTGCCGTGTAGCGCATCACACCTTCAAACGAGTCGTTTGGATGTGACTTGTTCAAACGGGCAAGACCTGCCGATAGCCAGGCTGGAGGAGGCGGCTACCAAGAGTGATGTTAGCAAAGCGACCAAACTGAAGTCTGCACTGCTGAAACAGAGCCATAAATGAAATGGAGTACAACAAAGGAAGGAGGCACCTACCCCGGGAACGCCTGGTTGAGGGGGATGTGTAGCATCAACAGCCCCAAGCTGTTGTACAGGCCGCTGAGGAAGATGGCCAGCAGTATTCGGTACTTGAACTTGTGGTTTAGGCTGCGATGGTGGGGCCATGCTACTCGGCGTCGGTGTCCGTAATTGAGGTGTGCCGGTCTGAGATACAGGTTGGGTGGCTGGCGTAGAGGTAGAAACCGAAGGGTTAGGTAATGATTGTGGCCTGTTGGCGAGGAATTGGCGAAACTTCTCTCGAGAGATCTTTAACTTTACAATGAGCTTCTCTTGCTCCTCCATGCTTTCTTCCCGGTAATCTCGTCTTCTGGCGGAGACCCGAGCCTCGTGGTGAGGTTCAGGGGTGGCAGAATGAGCCAGACTCGCCCGCAAAGCGGCGTGAGCTGCGCTTGCGGCCCCTCTCATGCCTCTTGTGCGGGCTGTTCCTTGGGCCAGATGAGGACCGATAGCCGGAGAGCCCGTCATCGATGATTCGTCGCTATCCGACTCATCGGACTCCTCACCACCATCACGCTGGCCAACTGCGGCGCGTCTGTGCCGACTTGATCCGGATCGTTTGAACACATTGCTCTCTTCAATTGACGCTGCGGTGTTTGGTATGACGGAGGATACAAGTATTGTACGAATGGTGCGTTGACGATCTTTCAAATCTGGCAAGGCTGGGCCACCGCGGCGGTTAACTGAACGTTTCTGCCGACGTTGGTCTCTGGATATGGACACCTCGGTGCGCTCGAGCTCCGCTTCATTCAGTTCGTACAGATATGGGGTGAATTCCTTGGCAGCTTGGAAGGGTCGGAAAGAAGATGTTAATGGGGAGGGTAAGAATGCGGCCTGGAGGTCAGGATCATCAATCGGACGACCATCAAAAGGATGGGAGACGATGTAAAGTGATTTGGTAAAGAGTTGCGACTGCTCACGTATCGAATGGGCGATTGCAGTCGTGAACTCGCCCGAGAGAGAGAGGTCATTGGTCATACGGGCAGCAAATTCCTCTGGGGAGTTAAAGGAATCATTGATGTCCCATTCAAACTGATCAATGAGAGTATGTTGTCCGATGGTAATGTTGAGCTTGATAAGAATGCGCATTTCATCGTTCTTGTAAGCGCTGTAGGGTAGATTAGGATCGAGCCCATCCTCTTCCATATATATTTGAGGATAATAGTCCGCGAGTTGCTCTTGAATGCTCCGCGAGATCATCCGTACGAGAGGAGTGCATGTCTCGAGCGGAAGGCCTAGATCTTCCACAAACTTCTCGGCGAACAGATCGGGAGAAACGACCCGGTCGTGGAGGTTCCACGTAAAGGTATCTCGAATCTTAATCTTCTCCCAATCGATGTCTAAGCGAATAGGAACCAAATCCTCCACCTGCTCACTCTGGATTTTCATGTCCTTCCGCGCAACTCGTAACTCCCTGGTCTTTCTATTTCCGGGTCGCCGCCGATGAGAGGGATATAACAATTGCGGATGCTGATTGCGCAGATCAGTCCTTACATTCCCAAATCCTTCATATCCAACGCCGTATAGGGCGGCCGGATTCCCATGGGTATCGCGGCGCAAGGCCAGATAGTAGTCTCGCTCCGTGCGCTTCTGTTGAAGCAACTCCTGGCTGGGATTGTGCCATGCTGCCAACGCTGAATGGCGGAATTCTCGTTCGACATACTGTTCGAGAAGTATCTTATCCGCCGGGGTTTCACGTACTCGGACAGGTAGGTCTTCTGCAGAAGAGGAGGTCCGAATAATGGAACCGTCGCGAGATCGCTTCCTACGTGTTGCTGAACCGTTGGCGTTGCTCAACTGAGAATTGGGCGACGTCTTGCCGTTCGAGGAGCTATGACTAGCTTCGGCTGAGGGTAGAGAGACACCCGAAGCTGCAAGGACAGCTTTCGCATTCTGTTTCCCTTCGGCTATGGCATCCACCCCATTCGCTCCATGTTCTGTTAAGGAGCCGGTCGCATTGTTTCCTTCGCCCCCCGCGCTGGGGCCCGGCGCGCTCAGGTCATTTTGAACGCCATCAGCCTGGAAGTCGCCGAGAGATTGTCCAGGCTGCGAATGATCGGGGAGAGGCATGGCCAGAAATTTCGTCTAATAGTTGCAGTTCTTCGCACAAAAGCAGGAAACACGGGTATCAATCGCAAGACGAGGTAACATTCCAATCAGATACTGAAAGACGATGGTGGCACCCAAGAACCAACGTGGCCTAGAACAGCATCCTTAGAGGGAACCTGCAATAGAAAAGGCGAGTCAATATGGGCAATTCAAGCCGGATACACGAGCGTGAGGCTATTCAAGACGCGACGGTGCATTGAACGGAGACGCGATGCGCCCCATTGAGCAGAAACAGCCACATGTCCCGAAAAAGCCAAGAATCGCCACAATCAGAGCCGTCACCCACGTAATCAATGTGTGAAGACTAGACGGACAAAAAATGGTCGCGAAAGCGGAGGAGGGTAGCAAGCGCGCAAGTAATGGGGTTAGGGAAAAACATACCAAGGAACTCCAAAGGAGGTAATTTAGAGGATTTTTAAAACAAAAGTAAAATAATGACAGAAAGCTACCAGCAGGCGCAGACACGCCGGACAGAGGGTTCCAGGGCAGGACGAGGCAATGGATGGGTCTGCGTGCCGGTTCTGGGTCTTGCGCTTTGCCGCGAGAAAGTGAGAAAATCAGCGCTCGGAAGAAGGCGGCTAATCAG